GTTTTTTTTTCTGCTGTTCTGTTTTTTCTGTTTTCTGTGTTTTCTTCAACACAAGTTGTGCTGCAGCAATTTATTTACAAGTTAATAAAAATACAATACAAAACAATGTTAACATACAATGTTCACAAATCCTATCCTACCTAGTGCCCACCCTAAGTTTTCCCCGCCCCTTCCCCCCACGCTCGCGCACGCGCGTTATTTCCGTTTCCCGCCGATGGACTCGACTTGTCGACATTTCTTCGAGGTCCTCAGATGGGGCGTGCCTTGTGACGTCGGGCACCCCCTTTGTTTCACATCCCTCTCCAGTGCAACCAAGTCTGCACATTAGCGGACGATGCCGGTAGCAGACGGATCCACAGAACGACCACTCAGGAATGTGGCGCCACGCATGTCTTAAATGAGCAGTCTCCCTCTACAGGGAGCGGTCGATAGGGTCCTTGATGCTGTTAGACCATACCAATCAATGCCCACGAACATATGCGATCTCAGCAAGGATTTTGGCACGATATCGATCTGCTGACTGCAAAGCAATGGGCGAAATTAGAACGTTTCGCATGCGACTTTTGCACAGCTGTTGTATGAGATGCCGTTCGATTTTTGGCAAATTATAGTTCCGCTTGGCTATTATTAAGTGATCATCAGCGATGGTCACGTTTGGGGTATGTGAAGGCAGCCGTCAAACTGATTGTATGGTCTGATCGATTTTTCCCCTTCGTCAGAGCTCACAACCGCAGGATCTACTGGAAAGTCAAGAGTTACTGTCATAAGGACGGTAGGGAAAAAACGCTTCTATGGACGGTAAACGGCAAAGATGCTCCAAACTTTCGCGCGTCAAAACAGCCCACACATTTGGAAAACTCAACGACACACTCGAAGCAATTACCTTGGCCCGAAAGCAGCATTTCCTAGTAAGTTCTGCGAATGAAGTAAGGGACAACTCCGCGTGGGATAACAGCCTTGCCAGTTTCGGTACTCATACGGGATTTCACAGCCTTTATCAGAGACCACGAATACTCTGGATTCATGCTCCTTCTGCCGAAAAAACAGTAAAATTCCACAGCTCTCAATGCTCAGAAGGCACTAAGAAGTTCTATGGAAAGCTCTCATGGCACTTTTTTGTACACCCTTGGATTTGTGTGGACGTTCTGGCTTTGGACGAATCTCTGAAAAGATGGTCTTCTGTGAACTTTGGCAAAGTCTTCGCTGCACTGCAATAAACGAGTTCCACGACAACGACCACACACTTGCAGGCAAGAGTATTTCTAAGATTTCTGACAAAACTGGAGGAAATTTTTGTGTACTCTTGGATCGTATCGTAATCACTAAGTTCCTTTAAAAAATAGTTTCCACAAATTATACTGTTCAATTTCATTTCCGTTCCTTTACCAAAAGGGTAACGGGGTTGAAGCGGAAAAAGAAAAATTTCTCTACTATTTCAGTGCGCTCAGAGACCGGCATCAATAACATAGGTTCAGGGAAGTGATAAGGTCAAATGATGGTATTTGGAGGGAGAGTGATGGGGTGAGCAGAGCTGAATTCGAAAATGTATAACCCTATTCAAGGAAATTTCAGGGACCGAAGACAAAGCACAGAGATGATCAGCAGAGTGGAAGTGTAATATTCTCAGTGAGCGAGGCTTTCAAAGAAGAGCGGCCAAATTGAAATTGACAACTCCATCCCAGACTTTTCAGAAGGTGAATTGTGACTAGCGAGGAGCAATTTTTGCTGGGAATATTCGACACCTCGGTTTCTGAGGGTTCTAGCTACCGAGCAAAAAGGGAATGGAGATAAGTGTGTACGCAGAAAGCACACATTCCTACTCCGCGAGGGCTGAACAGGTTCGAAATCCAAAGCAGTATCATCGGGACTATCAAACCCTAAGAATTAATAGTGAGGGTGTCTACTAAGGCGAAAGGAGTCAAAATGAAGATTAAAGATAACCCAGTTTTAAACGTTCCTAAGACCAGCAAAACGGTGGTGGGGAATCATTGAAGGACCAGAGGTTCATAAAAGGCACAGCATCCACGGAGATGGAGAAGACAAAACTGGAAATCGAACCCGGTTCTGAAGCGTCTGAGAAGCCGAGAAAACTTTGTAGGAACTAGCAAAGGATGGAGGTTAAAGGCACAGTTCATGATAATGGTCCCTAGGAGATCCCACTAGTATGAATCTAAGCTCTTATCCCCCAGCATAACATACTTGGCGTTGTCACATCGATAAAAAGTAGTAAATAGGGTGTTGCAAGAGTTCAAAAATTATATCGACTGAATGCCACACCCATGTGCGACGAGTTTTACTGCGTTGTAGAGACCAAATGATTTCCAAAAGATACCCATTTTGGCAGTTCGAACAGGTCGTGGGCCACGGAGATAGGGGCAATTTTTGACATTTTTGACCCAGTTAGCCAACTCATTACCCAATTGCAACAGTCTCACCCGTATACCCCTTCCATGCCATCTCCGTCAAAGTTAACCCGTCCAGCTTCTATTCTCTCCGTTTTCTGAAAACCTTATTTTTTGCGGGGGTCGGTGGATTTACTCAGTTTTTCCGCCGCCAGTGCACTATTTTCCATCAACAGTTTGGAAAGGTCCCATAAAATTATCGTGAACTGCGCCTCACGCGAAGAGAGAAAGGGAAGGGAAATAGAATCAGAATTTCACCACCTTGCTCCAGAAACAGAAAAAAAGTGGATTGTAACACTAGAATTGCAAAGGACCATATACCAGATGTTCACAGTGAACAAGGCGTGAGACCTGCTCCGGGATCATGGGTTTCTGTGGATCAATACCTATTGGAAACGTTGATATTCTAATGTTGGGACCAAATATTTGGTCAGGACGGGCCAAAGTTGCGCTAGAAAAATCATTCAGCAGACAGTAGATATAGCTGACAACAAGTCGAGGTGGCTGCTAACTCCAACTTTTCCTTTCCAATTCCCGTATGACGAAATTGTGGGGGTATTCCGTAAGGAAGACATCAACTTTTCTCCAAGCAACTTTCGAGATGAAGGAGCTGCTTCGGAATCGAATCGCAACCAGTGGTTTAACTGCAGTCTGATCAACTTTGCACTAAACGGGTGTGGACGATAGGATCTGACAGCGTCGCCCTTGACTACGTATATCTCACTAGCGTCGCATCTGTAACACCGTAGAAGCTATGCATGCGAAAAAACAATCCCTTCTGAACGTAGAGAAGAAATACTTTCTTCGCTGAGCTGGAAGAGTCGTCAAGATCATCCAAAGCGAACAAGCCAGCCGATTTCGAGAGGTCGTCGGGATGGATTCACCTAGACAACGACATCATTTAGACTACTGATGAAGAGAAATCCGCTGATCCCAGGAACCTCTAGATGTCATATATCTCGCTCCATCCTACTAAATCCTGACAATTGAAAGTGCCATATTGATGAGAGGTATTGATCCTCGCAGCTGTAAAGACATCCGAGAGCATATGAGACTTTTGACTATGCTGCACAGTACGCACAGCTCAAGAAGCAAACCAACAATTACGGACGGCTTCGACCTTTGCCAAGACGGAAGCAGAGACCTTTGCTATCAGATATCCCGAATGGTAAAGTCAGGTCGACCGTTGACGTGATGTTTTCAGTTCTTCGATGAGGCTCCGGATAAGAAGCTACGATGAGACAGTTTTTTATCAGAGCATGACTTACTGAACGAGAGCATTTGCAAGGTATATTTCCATATAACGATGAAGTAGTTCCGATGAATGCGAGTTATCAAAGAGGGCGAACAATTACCATACGAGAAAACTAGAAGAATTCGATCTCGTATGACTAAAATGTCCATAAAACATGATGGTCCTCTTAATGATCCATTTCCTTGAACTAGAAGAGTAAGGAGGCACGGCAGATCCTCTTTCACTTTTCGAAAACATCAAACGCCACGTGGGCGGCAACCTAGTGACCACATTGACGCATTCTGGCCCATACCCTTTCTTCAGAACTCACTACCTCTAATTTTCCTTTCACCTCTGCTCCGAAGAGGCTGCCTCAGATGAATCAGGGAGTTCCTGGACGATTGAGAGATTAAGTATCTTGTGAAGAAAGTCCTTGGAAGACCACCCAAGACTTCTGAAGACTCAACTCACTTGATACTATGCATTTTACGATGCTCAGACGCATTCTCAAAGTAGGCGGACACTAGTTTTCACTCCAAGTGTTACTTTCAAGGTCTAAAGTCATCAAAAGGTACAAAAATGGGTAACATGGAGGTATGTGCGATCAAAAGGCAAGTGGCAGAAATGAGAATTGGCACCCACTTTGTTCCACCAACCCTGCCACATACATAAACAATCAATACAAACGGCCCCCTTCGAACTTTCTGACAACCATCCCCGATTTCAACCATACCTACTGTCTGCTGAATGTTATTCTTGGCAACTAACTTTGCAACGGGAATGAAATCAAGCAGTACATTATGGTTAAAACGCTAATTAGCTCTTCTACATTGAAACTTTGTGGAAACTATTTTAACAAAAAATATTAGTGATTGAGACATAATCCAAGAGTACAGGTGAAATTTTCTACAGTTTTGTCAAAAAATCTTAGAAATACTCACCGCTATGCAAGAGTGCAGTTGTTGTGAGAAATCCGTCTGCTGAAGTGCTGCGGCCACCTCGTCGAAACGCCCACAGACCTGTCTTCCAGAGATAGCTCAGCAGCCAGAATATCCACATGAGTCCTAGGGTCTACCAAGCAGATGCCATGAATGGGTTTTCATAGAGCTCCTGAGCGTCTTTCTGAGCAAATCAAACTGCGAAACTTTACTGTTCTTCTGCCTGGAAACAGCACAAATTCAGCACTTGTGCTCTCCAGAAAGGCGATGAAATCCTGTAGGAACACCGAAGCTGACAAGACCATCATCTCCCGTAGAGTTATCTCGAACTTCAGTCACAAGGCACACTGGAAATCCTGTCTTGGAACCAGGAAATCACTTCGAACAAGTCGTCACGTCGCCCAAATGTAGGAGCTGNTGAATAGAAGAGTAAGGAGGCATGGCAGATCCTCATTCACTTTTCGAAAACATCAAACGCCACGTGGGCGGCA